TGTTACTTTTTTCGAATGCATGCCCACAAACCATCCAGATTTCACAACGATTACGAAAACTAAAACCGTTTCAGCTACAGCAAAAAGGAGAAGGAGGAGATTAAAAAGGTTAAAAAAGAAAAATGAAAATAAGAAAATCGCTATTGATGTGAGCAAGTTTGTCCNGATTGCGCTAGACCCTTAGAGTACAAGGGAGATACGAGCTCTTTGAGATGGGAAAGATTTGATTGGCCTTAACGAGGTTAGCTACGACAAATTTACTTGTCACCGTTCCATCACCGCCGTTTACAACTGAATATGAGTGGCAGTCCTAAAGAAAAGCCAAAGGGAAAAAATTAAGATCAACATGAAATCCACTGCACAGAAATGTCCAACTTTTCTTGGAATAACCAATTTACAGATAACATACTCAACTGACCTGAGGTTCGTTAGAAGGACATTTTATGAAGTGATGACCAGAGAGAGGAGGTGCAGCTTTCTTGTCGAAAGAGCGACTAGCTTACGGAGCAGCCCGAATCCAAGTTGTTTTGCACTGACGGTAAGAATTCGGACTGTCCAAATGCCCTAAAAAAGGTGAAGTGCAAGCAATGATTCTATAGAAACAAACGTGCTCCGGAGCGTTAGCGAGTAAAAAGTAGATTAGTCGTCAGCTCGATAGAAAGGGCTTTAAAGATACAATGAAGACTGAAGATTCGTTATTGGCGGCTACGTGAGCAGACTGGAAATAGGTGGTAGTCACAAGTGATTAGTTAAATAAGGTAGTGGTTATATTGGGGAAGAGCTGGTAACCTAATCAAACAGTGCCACACTTTTCATTAGAGAAGTTTAACCATGCCAGAACCTCCCACTTTCATTGTTTGTGAGGTGGTCATGGCAGATGAACGAATCAGTTTCGGTGTGGCGATGGCGAGAGCAAGTGTAAACCTATACTACAGCTAGAGCTAGAGGAAAACATGGCACTTTATCTCTTCACTTGCGTCTAAAATTTGAGAACTGAGTGATGCCATCCTTCCTCGAGAAACTTCAGGTTAACCCCACTGATATCGGCGATGACGCAATAGAAATCGGATGTCGTGAAGCCATGCGTTATGAACTAACTCATGAAAGACTCGTAAGATCGCGGTTTTGTAGTCAACACGAAAATTAGCATCTTCTGGTGATAACTGTATGATTTAGCATCCGATTCCTGTTCTACAGAATTCTCTTATGAAGATGGTAACGGTAACAGAAACTTGTGACGAGGAGGAAACCAAAGGTGAGACATCTAATGCTGCTTTTCCAATGGTACCAACGTTTGGGGACGTCAGTTGAACGGAGATCGTCCCATAAGCTTCACACGACGCTGTCATACTAACCGGCTGCGCGACGGTGCTCTGAGGATCAGTTTCCTGGTACCAGTTATGACGAAATTATCTTCTTCGAACGCGACGGTGCTCTGAGGATCAGTTTCCTGGTACCAGTTATGACGAAATTATCTTCTTCGAAAACCTAACTTATTGTTTGATCGTTTGCCAACATAACCACAATTCGCCGTTTCATCCCGTGTTACTTTTTTCGAATGCATGCCCACAAACCATCCAGTTTTCACAACAATTACGAAAACTAAAACCGTTTCAGCTACAGCGAAAAGGAGAAGGAGGAGATTAAAAAGATTAAAAAAGAAAAATGAAAATAAGAAAATCGCTATTGATGTGAGCAAGTTTGTCCTGAAAATTTTCGTCGGAAATCATGCAAGTCAAGTTTACTTTGAATAATTCAGGCACGAGCAGAAACTCTTTTCATGCCTTCAGATGTGAAAGACGACGGGCAATTGCAAAAGGTCTGTCAGGAAATCCACTACTCATGACTAAAACAGTAACTTAGGAGATTAGTAAGTAACGTAACTTCGAAGAAGCTGTAAAAAGCTGCTTCATGAAGGTCCCCGATTTGTTTATTATATGTTGAGCAACATGTGGTAACAGACGGCCAAACCAAAAAAAGNAGAACTCGCTAATGTCCGCCGGTGCACCACCGAAGGATAGCTAACTGCCACTCATTCTTCACCAACGAACCTCTTTGCTCCGACTAACTCTGATGACCCTTCTGAAGGTTCTGATCGTTACAGATTTCTCTTTGGCGTTGGGCATAATCCATATAGGGCACTGAGTTTCAACAACTGTCAATGGTCGTTGGCAGGAAGATGTCGAGGGCCCTTCTCGGTATCATAGCATCAAAACTTGGTCACCCGCGCACGATGACCTTGAGGATCTCCTGACATACACCCATGGAACGTCGCGAGACATAATCTCAATCACGAGTAATGAGGCAGAAGTGTAAAATGATAGGAAGTGCTAAAGGGATTTCGAGATTTTGAAATTTGGAGATCTATTCGTAGTGTTTGCAGAGAAGTCTTCATTAGTTCCTATGCGATATACTCTAAATAATTTTCAGGTCACACCGAAAAGTGGATTGATACACTTTGTAACGTCATTTAAGAACGTCATCGCTCGATAAACAAAACTATTACCTAATGAAATGCGTTAAAAATGAAGACAAATAAACATTCTTCCGACGAAAATAAAGATTGACATGATTTTGTGCTTGTTACTTATCTTACCGTATAACGATGCACGCCAACATCTAACAAGGGCATCCTACTTATATAATCGGCTGTTGGTGTGTTTCTGTGTTTGTGTGTATGTGTGTGTGTCTGACCGGAAATTCATAACTCCTGTCCCCGTGGGCCGAAAGCGTTCAAATTTGGTAGGAGTACAGGCGGTAGGAGGGGAACACTTTTAACGGGTGGCAGGACCGGACTCCGCCCAAGAGGGGCGGGGTTTGTGAGAAATAAATGTTTGAGCGAAAATTCATAACTCATGTTCCCGTGATCCTAGAGCACTCAAACTCGGTAGGAAAACGGGCAGCAGGATAGGAACACTAAAGGTAGACGGTAGGACCAGACTCCGCCCACAATGGGCGGGTTCGTGCAAAAATTCACAACTTCGGTCCCCGTGATCCTAGAGCACGCAAGCTTGGTAGGAGTATAGGCGGCAGGATGGGAAAACTTTCAGTGGGTGGCAGGACCGGACTCAGCCTAAAGGGGGCGGGGTGTTTGCGAGAAATAAATGTTTGAGCGAAAATTCAGAACACATGTCCCCGTGATCCTAGAGCACTCAAACTCGGTGAAAATTCATAACTTCTGTTCCCGTGGACCTAGAACGTTCGAATTTGGTAGGAGTTATGGGAACAGGGTGGGAACACTCTATGTAGGTAGCTGGACCAGACCCCGCCCATAGGGGCGGTGATTGCGCGAAAATTGCCAATTTGGCCCTAGGGCGTTCAAACTTTCTAGGAGTGCAGGCCACAGGATGGGAACACTTAGTATAGGTGGCAGGAAAGGACCTTGCTCACAGGGGCGGGGTTTGCGCGAAAACTGACAATTTGGCAATACGGCGTTCAAAGTATTCCGATTGCACGGAGGTACGCTTCCTTGGCCCATCTTTCCTTTTTTCTCTGAATAATCGCCTTTGTGATATTGTACGATGTTCTTACCGGATACAGCGAAGAAGGCTTACTG